CGCCGCGCTGCTGGATTAGATGCGCGGTACAATGGGCCCGCGACGCCGTGCCTGGCCGTGCCGCTGTCCGAGAGCGCTGGTCGTGGCGGGGGGGAAGGGGCCGGAATCATTATTCGTTATATACTGAGGACGGTTTTGTTTCTTCCGCGAGCTGCGCGAGGGGCACAAATGGCTGCGCGCTGTGCGCCCGCCCCGCGCCGCCGGAGCAAGGCGTGCCCGGCCGAGCCCAACAGCTACAGCCCGCACCCCACAGAGACCCGCCCCGTCCCGTGGTGGGCCGACACATAAAGAGCAGGGAAAAACAGTTGTCAGAGTACATTATTTACGCCAAGAAAAAAAATTACACAAGATTCCTTAATCACTTAAGTGGGCGGTTTGATCATTCTTTCACCAAACACGTGCAATGTTTGATTTTTTAATGTTTATCTTGTAGCTACATATTGTTCACACGACACGCACGCATACAGCACAGCTCTCTCTCCCTCACTCACACACGCAAACACGTTAACACGTACAACGTTTTGCCGGGCATGTCTACCGCACTGGTACGAACCGGAGGCAAAATGATGGCGATTTCATCGGGGCGGGCAAAAAGGTGGGGTGTGCGCTGTGGAGGCAGGAAGGGGGGGGGGATGGGATTGGATGGCAGAGGAGGGAGGGTGGAGAGGGGGACGCTGTTACGAGAGGGTGGTGGTCGTGTGGTCGTGCAGGGTGGCAGAGCAGAGGAGGAGGTGGAACAAGGAGGTATGCTGCAGCATAGGTGATTAGGGAGGGACCGGGAGCGCGCGTGTGTTGGAGGGTATGGGGGGTTGGGGGGTAGCACGAGTATCAGACATTCGTTAAGCCGTGAGATACCTCGCGAGCGAGGTACGCCCCCCACCCCCACCCCCCTATAACTCCCGTACCGACACCAGAGGGCCCGCGTGTCGAGTCTTTGTCCGAACAACAAAAGCGGCCTGGCCGAGCGTGGCGCGCGTGGGCGTGGGTGCGCGGGCCAGGGTGGTGCGACGTACGGAGGCGAAAACCGTGGCGAAAATGTTTCATTTGCATACGAAATTGCGCAGCCAAAGGAGCGGCGCGTAGCAGCCCGCAGGTATGTGGGCCTAACGGGCGGGCAGGGGTGGAGAGGGAGCGGCGTGGGGATGGGATGGGGGTGTTCGGACGGCACTGGGAGAAGTAGTAGCAGCAGCAGCAGCAGCAGGAAAAGGAAGGGAGGGGAGAGAATTTTCGATTTCACTCAAAGCGAGGGAGGTAGAGGTGGAGGGGGTTGATTATCCGCTAATGAAAAAGTCAGGCAGAGAGAGAGAGAGAGAGAGGGGGGTGGGGCAGGAGAAGGAGGGGTAGGGGTTATTCGGGGGGATGCGCGCAGCGACCTTTGGCGTGTGCGACCGTACCGCCGCCAACCTGTGATCAGCCGCCCCCGCAGGGCCCCCCGTTCGGCTTCCTGTCCGGACTTCCCCCGCGTGTGAGTAGGCGGAACAGGAACCGGAACCGTCACGTCGGCTGTCCGGCAGCTTGACAGGGCTTGACACGGGCCGCTCAGTATTGGACAGCGGCAGGGCAGAGACGCGCGCGTCCACACGCAGTCACGCCCCGCAGCTGTGACCGCAGAGTGTGGGGGTCGTATTTATTTTTATTTTTAAACTGTGGTGTAAACATTTCCGGTAGTATTGAACGCTGCCGCCGCCCCCGCCTGCTGCTCGAGCGGCAACACAAGGTGTTGGCTGCAACCCGAACGTAACCGTTGACCTTTTCCCTGTCCGTCTTACCGTTCTGCACGAGGACTGTGGCGAGGCAGGCCGTGCCCCCCACCACCATGGAGACGCACAGCGCCACCCGCCGGCCCCACCGCAGCATGGCCGGCCACAGAAACAGGTAGGTGGGCAGTTCCACGGCGCCGGCGAGGAAGAAGTTGAGGAACTCGTCGCCGCCGAGGACGGGCGCGTAGTAGGAGAGACCGACGTACACGCTAGTGTTGGTGAACCTGCGCAAGGTGTGGGCAATGCGGGAGTAAAGTGTCGTGTTTCTGGGCACGATCAATAACATGCTTGTAATCAAACGGGCCTGACCATATGAAGGTGATGATGAGGGTTTTGCGGCGCAGGTTGGGCGTGCGCACCAGGTCCAGCACGCCGTAGCTGCGCTCTACGCTCTCTAAACATGGCGCGGGCTGGTCGGGCCCGGCGCCCGGCGGCGCACTCTCCATCTGGAACTTGCGCTGCAGCGCAAACAACAAAGTTTCAGAAATGTAAAGATGAAAAGAAGGAACGAAGAAAAAGAAAGGAATATTCTGAGGTGGCGTATCGGTGAAAGGAAAAAGTACGTAGAATAGGCACGTAAAGTCCTGCCAGGGGAAGGAGAGTTATGGTGGCAAAAGTGTAACTTTTTTTTTCTAAATCCTACAAGGCACCGGGCAAAACATTTTGGAAAAGAAGTTGGAAAATCCGTCTCCGATCCCGCGGTATCTGTACTCACCATAAGCTGAGAGAGGTAGTTGGGCGGCAGCGCGCGCCCGTTCACCCGCGCCATGAGCTTGAGGATGGCCTCCGCCTCCTGGTAGCGCCCGCGGGCGAGCAGCCAGCGCGGGGACTCAGGCAGCACCCTGCAACACACGCCGATCCCCCGCGGGGGCCGTGTCAGCGCCCAGGACATGAGGAGCCGAGCGCCTGCGAGCGGCAGGGTAGGCAACGCGCTCGGCACGCGTGCAGAGCGGGCGGCCCGCCCCGCCCCTTCTCCTCGCCCGTCTCCCATCGCGCGCTGAGCCTGAGCGCTCCCCGAGGCCATCCCGCGGCCGTCGTGGACGTGGGGGGCTGGCGCCCGGCGCCTGCGAACGGCAGGGGATGTTAGGCCTGCCCCACCCCCTCACCTCGCCCTCGCCCATCCCCTAGCGCTATCGCTGAGCATGGAGCGCCCCCCACATCTCCTCGGGCGCGAAAGCCGTCAGCGGGAAACTCACGATCGCGGTGCACTGCTGGCTGAGTTTGGCAGCAATGAATATATAGGAGTGCGGGACATGCTTGACGCAGAGGCGCGCCGGGCCTCCGCGCCTTGCCGCGGCCCGCCCCCGACCCGCCCCCGGCCCGCCCCCAGCGTGTCATGTTGCAGCCGGGCCCGGGGCCCCCCGCCTCTTGCTGTGCCGGTGACACCCGGGAAAGTGGGTGGTTGATCCTGCCGTTGGGGGGCGGGGCCCCCTCATCCCCCCAACCCCCCTCTCGTTCTCCTCCCGCTCGCTCCTGCCCCCCCCCCTTCCTCGCCATCGCTCCCGGCATTCGCAGTCCTTATTTTGTATTTTTGGACCATCACGGTCCCCGTGTAATGCAATACGAATGCGCGAGGCCGGGATCGGATCACTCACCACCAGTACAGGAAGAAGCTGACGAAGGGCACGGAGGTGGCGAGGGCGAGCTGCCGCCAGTCCCGCACCAGGTACACCACGCCGGCCAGCGCCACGAGCGACAGCGAGTAGGCGATGTTGCTGAGGATGGTGACGGCCGTCCGCTTGGAGGGGCCCACCAGCTCGATCGCTGAGGATGAGGACAAAAGAAAGACGCGGTAAAGTTAGCCTTGAAATTCATATGATGCACCAGGGATGATCTAGTAAAGTACAGTACAGTACGTCCATCATTCGTCGTTACGAAGTACGAAGTTCGGGCTCTGCACGATCTCATAACGCCTGGTAGGTAGACAACATCTTGCCTGCTGGGCACGCATGTGCTGCGGGTTTGCCTACCCCGAGTCTCGCAGGCGCCGAGCGCCCGTAATTTGCCGCGCAATGCATTTGAGGATAAACGGACGTACTTTTTTGGACGACGTCTTAACGGATCGAGCGCTAGACGGGCCTTGTGATTAGGCTTGCGTGCTACAATCGTGGTGCAATTGTGGTCTCCTTACTCGCGGCGAGTATCGCTCCACGCTCCCCACGTCGTCCCAACCCGACCGCCACACGACGAAACACAAACACGAAACATTTGCGAGACGCGCGACGGCGCGACGGGGCGAACAAACACCCCTCCCCCTCCACTTTCCTCCTCCACCACCAGCACGGCGGGGCTGGCTCCTGTGCTCGGGCGCACTAGGCGGGATGCGATATTCGACGGCGTCCACGGGCCTCCCTGTGGCGGTGGCATGGCGTAGCGCTCTCCCACCTGCTCACCTGTCGTTGTCGTCAGCACGAGACGCTTTGTCTCTGTCTCTCTCCCTCTCTCTCTTATTTTATCTCACTC